AAAATTTACCATTTTACCATATCAGCACTTTATTTTTAATGTCTTTGGTTCCACATTTGGTTTAGAAATGCTTGAAAAGCGACAATGCTTTCACATATCGGCTGAAACAGATGGTAACATACGCTGATCACACCTACTGAGAGTATTTATATAAATGATCTTAAAGTCTGAAAAAGATTCACATGTACAGTCTAGTCAATCCTAATTAAAATGATAACTTCAGTACAGGACATGTAACGTTCAAACATGTTTTCCAGGTTTGAGGGTTGGTAAGCTAGATTCATACCTCTTTTGTTCTGAGAACATATGTTCTCATTAAAGGCAGCGCCATGTAGTGTGAAGAATGCTGGAATTAGAGTCCTGAGAGACCTGGATTTGAACCTTGTTTCTCACACTCACTTTGTTACCTTGGGAAAAGCATTTTTCATCTTTAAGGCTTAGTTTCCTCATTTGTGATATCATATCTCACCCTGGGGCAGCTAGGTGGCTCAGTGGATAGAGTACCAGCTGGAGTCAGGAGGACCTGAGTTCAAATCTGGCCTCAGACACTTATTAGCTATGTGACCCTGGGCAAGTTACTTACCCCTGTTTGCCTCAGTTTCCTGATCTGTAAAACTCCAAATGGGTTCATGAAAAGTCCGACACAACTGAAAACAATTGAACAACAATAACAGCCATGGTGGAAAGAATGATGCTTTTGGAGTCAGAAGGTCTGGGTTAAAATCCTAGTTCATTCCCTTGCTACCTATGTACCTTTCGACAGCAAAAATAACAAGAAAAGATAGAGATACAATGCAATACGAATTTATTAAGCACGTACTATGAGTTTAGTGGGGCTGCTAGGTGGTGCAGTGGATAGAATGCCAGGCCTGGAGTCAGGAAGACTCATCTTGAGTGCTAATGTGGCCTCGGAAACTTACTGTGTGACCCCGGGTAAGTCACTTAACCCTGTTTGCCTTAGTTTCCTCTCTGTCAAATGAGCTGGAAAAGGAAATGGCAAACCACTCCAGTATCTCTGCTTAGAAGATCCCAAATGGGGTCTGAAAAGTCAGACATAATTGAAACAAAATATAATAGTAATAACAGCAATGAGCTAAGTGCTAGAGATACAAATAAGAAAAAAGGAAGACAGTCCTTGCCCTAAAGGAATTTACAATCTAATGAGGGAAAACTACCCAAAAGGAAGCTAAATATTGGGAGTGGGGCAGGGACCTGATGAAGACAAGGGAGCTGCTAGTGGCAAATGAAGTTTTGGGAGCAGTTTTTTTGGTCCAGTCCTACTGTCCCTGTAAGCAGAGGCAGAAGCAATTTGGGGTATGAGGTTTGGGTAGCAAAGCTGAAGCAATCTCCATATTGATGAGTTTGTTCTGATAATGATAAGTTTATTCCTCATAAAAGATTATGATGGAGTTAAAACCAAGCACAGCAAAGGAAGAGGGAGTTGCTAGTTTGACTGGAACACAGAGTGTGTGGAGACTGGATGTGAAATAAAACTGGAAATTAGATGGGTACCAGAATACAAAAGGCTATAAATGCTAAATAGTGTGTTTTAAACAGAGATCATAAGGAGTTACTGAAGTTTGTTGAGCAGGGAAGTGATAAGGTTGGATGTGTGCCTCAGGAATATTCACTTTTGATGTGGAAGATGGATGAGAGAATGGAAAAGCAGTAGGCTTGGAAACCAATTAGGAGGTTATTTCAACAATCCAGGGGAGAGGGGATAGGGCCTGAACTAGGTTTGCTGGTCATGTGATGGGAGAGAGAGAAACAGAGTTGAGAGATGTTGTAGAGACAGGAGACTTGGTAACTGGTGAAGAAATTAGGATGACTCCAACAAAATCAGCAGTTTACATGTGACCAAACAATGATCAAAAAATTAAATGGGAAGTAACAGTGACTTCTCCCATCACAGAACTGCACAAAAAGTCAGCCAGAAGTCAATAGGAAAGCAGTTGCCACCCTTCCTCTTCCCCCTTCTTATAAAACTAACACCAATCCAACAGATCCTCCCATTGAGACCAGACTTCAGGACAGCATAGACACCCAAGGGCTCTGAGGTCCCTCTGTCTCTCTCCTGGGAAACCAGAGAGGGCCATGAAGATACAGAGGTAAAAGGAAGGCAAAAAGAATGAATATCCTAGTGGGGGGCGGCAAGGACAAGAAAACCTGGGGGGTGGGGGTGGAATGGAGGGGGCAACAATGTCTAATGAGAAAATGGCTGAGAAAAAGCCATTGGAATTTGCAATTAAAAAACCACTGGTAACTTTGTCCATCACAGTTTTAGTTTAGTGTTGAGATCAGAAGCCACATTGAAGGACTGCAGAAGTGGAGGTCTTGCCAGCTCAAATCTCTCCCCACTCTAAACCACTCTTTGTAAAGTCCACATCTGACCACATCACACACTCCACACCACCCTTCAATAAAACTTCAGTTCCTCTCTAATACTTCCAGGATCAAATATAAAATCGTTTACCTCTTAAGTCCCTTTTCAACCTGGACCCTCTGTTTCCCAGCCTCCTTATTCTTTACTCCTCTTCATGTATTATAGAGTCCAGTGACACTAGCCTTCTGTTTTCTTTTCCTTGCACAGAACATGCCTTCGTTCAGCTCCATCCCTACCTTTTCACTGGCTATCCCTCCAGACTTGGACTGCTTTCCCTCCTTACCTCTGCCTCTGGCTCCCTTCAAGACTTAGCTCAAATCCCATGTTCTGCAAGAGTGCATTGCACATTTTAGTCAATACAAAAGTGGCTTTTAAATAATTCATATTGCCTGGTTTAATGCATGGCCTTTCCTATAGACTATGAGAGAGGTGAATTCTGTGCAGCCTCCACTTAACTACTTTTCTCTTTTTCCCTAAGCAAACTAAATTGAAAGCCAAGTTCTGGAAAAGTTATCCATTCTTCCTTTTCCTCCATTTGTCCCCTTTTAAACGTTGTTGCGGTATAGATTCATCCCTGTAGACTTCCAGGAGCCCAGATTCTGTTAGTTTGACTGATAGACTGAAAAGCAGTAAATAATCACAACTCCAGGCAGTCTGTCTGTTGGGACTTGAGACTGTAGATAGAACCTTTAGAAAAACATCCATGGTAGGTGGAAACATAGTTGTAGCTTTTATCCTTAACTAATCTTTAGCATGCTAGTCGGTGAACATCTTGCCTTTGGATGATAGTACTCTTTTCCATATAACTTAGTTTCTTTAGAAAGCAATTTTGAAGAACAATCCAGGAATCTCGTAGGTATTCCTCAATGAGAAATAACCCAGTTCATTCCTTTCCCCTCAAGAACCTATCAAATGAGGTGGTCTGATGCTCACACATTACTGATCCACAGAGGCCCCAGGTAATGCACAAGATCTTTGTGTGACTGGGAGAGATTTTCTCAGAATTCCCCCTATCTCCCATATCCAGAATTTGTGCCATGATAGAGCAGTCCAAAGGCATCTTCTCATCAAGTGAAGCCAGTTTTAAAACTTTTTATCACTTTGGTTTCAGTACCATAACATAAAATACATTGTACTTGATAATAATAGCTATATCTAATGGTGAAGCACAATACAAAGCATGATATATTTTTTTAAAAAAAGGATTTGAGAACAGCTGCCTTTTGTTTAGCAGCGTAAAATGATCTCAGTATTGTAGATCAGGGCATATGGAAGCTTGGTTCTTTTTGATGGGAGTTCATTTCTTGTTTTTATTTTCTTGGTTTTGTTTTTTTTTCTTATTGTACCTATTTTAGTGTGTTCTCGTGTCTGCTCTTCAGGCAGGGGCCAGGCAGAGTCTCTTTTGGGTTCTGGGTATTATAGGGAATGTAGAAATGCTAGCAAGATGCACCCGGATATGACTAAACAGATCCATAAGACTTTTATTTTCATCTCATCTCTGCTCAAACATATAGCCATTATTGAGTTACCTTAATTTTAGATAGTGATTCTCACAAGTTACTCACTTGAGAGTTTTTATTGGTGACCTTGGGCTCATTTAAAAAACCATAACTTCTCTAGGATCCGTAAGATCCTATATTTAGTGATTAGGCAAATTATAAATCTGTTTTTCATAATCTTGGGTTAGTTTTGAAGTATCTCCTTTAAATTGTCCTCTTCATATTATCTTCCTTTCTTGGATGGGTTTGTTCATTATCGCCCTTTTACCATAAACCATGTTATTAAAGTTGAAGATTAGGTTGGACAAACCTTTCTAAGTATTAGAGATTGTATGACTGTATTGGTATAAGGACCTCCGAGTGAGGCGTTTCCTCTACCAATGTAGGTTACCATCTTCTCTACAACTTACCTGGATCGCCAAGAATTTAAGTGACATGCATGGCATAAGCAATGTTATTACTCTCTTTTTATAGATGATGAGATTGAGCCTTAGAGGAGCTTAATTATTTGCTTATGGTTATAAAGATAGTAAAAATAGGAGGCAGAATTTGAACCTCAGTCTTCTTGACTCCAAATCCATCCAGAATTTGAAGTCTTTGCCCTGGATTGAGAGTCATTGGTTCTGGATTAGATTTTATCATCCTATTCTCAGTGTGACCATGGGTGAGTCACCTAAGCTATCTATCCTGGTCCCAGTTTCTTCACCTTTAACATGGCAGGATTCGTCCAGATTATCTCTAAGGTCCTTTCAAAGTAGGCCATTTGTAGAGGAAATTATATTTGTCATTATAAAGGAAGTATTGCTAACTTTTCATTATATAAAATATAAAGCTTTACTAACCATTCTATGCAACATTGTAACTGGAAAGGTACGTATTAAATTTCTCATTTTGCTAATAAAAGTTTTTCTATCAGTGTTAGGGTTAAAGTAGAATATGGGGACAATTTTTGGTCCAGTGACCTTCATGGGTTTGCTCCAGCAGGGTAAAACTCTGGAGGAATGTATTTGGGGGAAGACCATAGCTATTAAGTTTTCTAACCAACTGTAGCTAGTCTGATTTAATTGCATGCCACTGAAAATGAGATTAAATGGGCATTCTTTGACATCTTTTTTCAGGTTATTAATGCTGCATTGGCTTTGGCTGCAAAACCACAAAGTAAACTGGCCCAGGAGAACATGGATCTTTTTAAAGAACAGTGGGAAAAGCAAGTCCGGGTTCTAACAGACGCTGTTGATGACATAACTTCCATTGATGATTTCCTGGCTGTTTCAGGTAATGAGATCATTTACTTAGATAATACTTTCATCTAGGTTGTAACAAATAAGAAAAGCCTAGAATTCTAAGTGGTAAATTATTTTTCTACATTGCAACATCAGTATCTATCATTTAAAAAATAATAAAGATAGTACAAATTGACCATAGTTTTGAAATTGCTTGTTTAATCAGTACTGGGGTGGGTTTGCACTAAGCAATTCCATGTTCTCTCCCCTCTAACCAGAAGTGTGCATTCTAGAAGCTGGCTGCTACTTGGAGTTGGGAATGTTTTCCCTCTGACTCTGGGGATACAATCCATGACTCTTTAGCTCCATGTCTGATTAGCAAGCATCACCAAAGCTTATTCAAGTTCTGCTGTCATATTTTGAAAATTAAATTGACTTATACACACACAAAGCCACCAGCTTACAGGGAGCACTTTTTGCTTAAAGGGGAACTCTTGTGAGGGGATGGTAGTCCAGATGTTGATCTTGTATTTATTTTTTCCAAAAGGAGGTCTTTTCTTTCCAAAAATCTTTTCCATCACACATAAATGATAATTGAACTTCCTCTTTTTAAAAAAAATAAAGCAACAACAACTATTCTCTGTGTCTGATACACAGAAAACAGGGAGGAAATTCTTAAGTGCCATTTAATTATGAAGTAGAACATAATCTGGGTAATTTACCTTATAAAAATATTTGATTTCATTATGTAAACATAAAGCAGTAACATCATAGTAAATTGCATCCGTATAGAAAACGTTTATCAAATGAAATTCATAGTCTTTATTACATTGAGATAAATTTCAATTCCATGTCCTCAGAGTTGAGTAAATATAAATGCATTCTCCATTTAGCAAATGCCTCCAGTGTTCTTTGAATGCATTAGAGCAGGATTCACAGAGCCATGTGGTTGCATGGAGGGGAGGAACAACCATTGTAGTCATTGTGGTAATTTTGTAGTCACAGATGCAAGGTAGAACTTAGGAAATTCTCAATGGAAACAGTAGGCTTTAAGTATAGCCAGGATTCTCTGCTTTAGCAGTGATCTCTTTGAGGGTTAGAATATATTCTGCCATACCAGTGTTGTAATGCCTCTTTGACTACCTTCTTCAAGAATTATCCATTATCTGTATGTATGAAAGCTTTAAGGTGCTAATTACCCAGAAGTGCCTAATCAGAGAAAAAGAGGAAATGTGGGGAAAATCCAGGTTAGACAACAGATGTAAGTATTTGCTATTTAATCACCTGCAGACAGGTGCCAGAAATGCAGCTATGGCTTTTTTGGGAAATCTTGGCTTTCTGTTGTTTTTCCAGTGAAGTACAGAATTATTTCATAGGTCTAAACAAGATCTCTATCTTTCTTTATGTGCTTTAAAGCAAACAATGAAAAAAAATTTGAAATCTATATGAAAAGACTTCTCACTGGATATTGCATTCCTGAAGTTCCTTCTTCAGGTTAGGTTTTGTGTGTCCTGAAATTTGTCTCCAAGCATTTTGCAGACCTCCTTGTAGACCTCAGAGGCAAACTACAACCTACCAGAAACAAATGTTCTGCAGCATTCTTCAAATCACTTAGAACAAAAGGAATTCTGCAGCAGCAGAATGGAATGTAGGCATTTACCTTTAGGGTGAGACACATAAAACAAAAGTATATGAAAGAGAAATTGAATTCTTTAACAAATATGCAGGCTGTCTGGAGTGTATTTTTAAAAATTTATGCAAATATATATAGTTCTATGCCTGTGTATAAGACAGAGGCAAGAGTAGTTTGACTTAATGGAATGAAGCTAAGACATTTACCATTTCACAGGCAAAAAATAAATATACTGTACTATATCACAAAATAGCTAGCCCTAAGTGCATAGAGGGAGAGATTTTTTTTGTTACTTAGCTGTTCCCATTAAGTTCACTTAGAAACATTAGTTAGCAAATGAAAAGCAGTTGGGAGATTACAATATATCACATTATGTCAAGAGGATGCTAGTGGTAGACTATAGGGTTAGTGGTCAAGAAAATGACTGTGAGGTCATTGCAATATAGGAACCATTTTGTTTTCTTCTGAGTGACCTTAAGCAGATCAGGTGCCTTTGTAGTTTGGTTGTTAAACCATCCATTCTCCTACTTGATAACAGTAACTTAAAGACATAGGTAAAGAAGTTGTGAGTCTCCCAGGATGTTCAGAGTAACATGTAAGTTTGCATGCCTAACTCCTAATATCCACAATAGTGTTCTATAATGTGTTTATCCATTCCCCCAGTTTATGAGCACTGCTCAGACTCGCAGGTTTTTTCTGCTATCTCAAAAAGGGCTATCAAAATTTTGTATATCCTTTGGGTTTTACTTAGGACTAACCCCTCCCTTAACCTCCCCTCCCTTTGATTCCCTCCCACCCCACCCCTTTCCCTCCTATTTCACTGTTGAGTGAAATGTATTTATGTAACCAATTGTATATGTATATGTGTTTGTGTTTTTCCTTCTTTCAGCCAGTTCAGATGAGACTGAGCCCCTTCCCCCACCCCCACTGTCTCCTCTTTGTATAGATGTCTGTACAACCTAGATTATGTGAGATAATTTTCCCTGTCCTTCCTTTCCCACACCCCCAGCCCTTCCTTCCAGTGTATTCCTCTTCCTTTCTCTTTCCATTCTTTTCTTAAGATCATCAAAGCATAACTGAACCACTCCCAGGCCTTCTCTAATTGGATTCCCTCTGTGAACCCTATTCAGAATGTTGCCTGTAAGTATTAAAGAACACATGAGATGTTAGAAAGCATTCAGCCAAGGCAGAATATATTTATATTATCTGCCATTTTAAATAAAAGTTTGAAATTTATCAGTGATAAAGACTTTAAAATTTCATTCTAATTGAACTTGTTAACTCTTTCCATATAAATGTACTGACCCTTCTCGTCTTTATGCTTATGTGGTAAATTTTGGGCGTTTTTTTTAAATAAAGACTAGATCAGTGAAATTGATAGTATAATTACTCTTATGATTAGGTAACTTAGAGCAGCAAATAAATACCTTGGGATAATAATGTACCATCTTGCTAATCCTTCTTGAATTGGCATGTATCTAGAATAATAGGGCTAGTCTTTTTAATTTATTAAATTGATCAGTTTCAGAAATTGATAGCAGTACAGTAGCTAGTGATGCCATTTATAGCAATGGAAATTTGATAGTTATGACTTCTAACATTGCTAAATAAAAAAAATCTCTTTGCTTCTTAGTAGACTGTTTATGAGTTGCTGAAGCATCAATGATGAATAGCACTCTTGTGGTTACCCCAGATTTTAGCTGGGAGGTCCTCAAGCAAAATACATATAATCTATTGCTGGGCCCATTGATTTTCCAAAGGAACATAGTATAGTGCATAGGGTAGGGGCTTTGAAAGTAGTTGACCTGGATTTGAGTACAGGCTCTGCCACTTGCTCCCTCTGTGACCATCTCTGGGCCTCGGTTTCCTTATCTATAAAATGACTGAGTTGAAGGAGATGATTTCATAGGTCCCTCCCACCTTTAAATCTGAGGCTCTATGAAGGGTGAAGATAGTTGGTATCAGAGATGGGATTAGAATCAATATATCCTGATTCAAAATCCAGTATATATTTTTTTAGGTTTTATTGATCCTTTTGATTTTTACCCTAGTTATTTTCCTTGTAACACAGAAGAAGCTAAGCAAAATCAATCAACACAATTATCTTTATAGTGTGTGCAACATTTCACTGCCATAATGACTGACTTTTATATAGCACTTGAATGTTTTGCAAGTTTTTACATACATTATCTTGTTTGAGCCTCACAGGCAACCCTGCTTACTAAGAGGTACTGCAAGTATCTGATACTATCTGATGAGAAAACTGATGGAAGAGCTTGTGACTTATCTGTCCAGGAGCATCATATATAGCTGTTAAGTGTCAGAAGCAAAATTTGAACTCAGGTCTCCCTTGACTCTCCTTAGAAGAGGGAAGTGTGTGTTTAACCATTTGTTCTCTAGGATTAAGGTTGTTCATTTCAATCAGTTTAGCCTCTTTTTAAAATTGTTTTCATTTTCTTCATTATTTTATTTTCCAGGGCCTGTTTGCTTCATTCTGCATCAATTCTTAAGTTTTTTCATGTATCTCTGCATTCTTCAAATAGTTAATTTCTTACAATGTATTTGGATTCCTTTACATTCGTGTTCCACAGAAAGGACCTGCTAGGAATAGTTTGTGGTATTGTGGTTTCCTTGGTGTAAGTGCTCAGTAGTATGATTGCTGGGTCTAATACAGTTCCAAAATGTTTTGTTAAATGGTTAAACTCATACTTAGCTCCACTGGCAGTGTAGTAATGAGTCTGCCTACAGCCCCTCAACATTGGTACTTGTGGGTATTTTTTTTTAATGTACCTGTTCTGCCTCTGATATGCGAAGAATTGAACTGAACATTTATTGCCTTTATTCAGTATCTATTATGTGTACGGCACCACACCTTAAAAAAAAGTATGGTAAACTTACCAGGTTTTTACAATGATAGGTGTTTAGGAATTTAATGTTGACCCAAACTCAGTTTTGTTTTGTTTAAATAAGGAATCAGTTTATTTAGTCACATTAAATCTAAAACATTTTCTGAGATGTCTTTTGTAAAAAGAGTACAACTAATAATGCAATGACTTCATCTGAAAGTGTATGCAGTATTTTTTACATCTGTATCCCACTTCTGTTTTTAAAAAATTTATAGAAATTATTTTTCTCCCTCTCACCCTATTAAAGGGAAAAAAAGAAAAACATTTCTTTTTTTAATTCAATATTTTTAATTAATATATTTTGATTTATCAACAATCACTTCCATAAGCTTGTGAGTTTTAAATTTTTCTCCCCCTCCTTCCCCAAGATGGAGCGCAATCTGATACAGGCTATACATAATATTCCTATTAAACATTTTCACATTAGTCATGTTGTAAGGAAGAATTAGAATCAATAGGAGAAACCACAAGAAAGAAGAAACAAAACAAAACAGAAGAAAAAAAATAGCAAATAGTATGCTTCAATCTGCATTCAAACTCCACAGTTCTTTCTTTGGATGTGGATAGCATTTTCCATCATATGAGGCTTTTGGAGATATCTTAATCTTGTATTGCTGTGAAGGGTTAAGTCTATCAATATGAGTCCTCACACACCGTGACTGTTACTGTGTGCAACGTTCTCCTGGGTGTGCTCACTTCAGTCAGCATCGTCCACACAAGTCTTTCCATGGAAAAACAAATTTCTTTTAACAGTTATGCATAGTCAAGCAGAACAAATTCCCTGAATGGCCACATATAAATAGAAGAGAGTGTGTGTGTGTGTGTGTGTGTGTGTGTGTGTGTGTGTGTGTGTGTGATTCTGTACCCTAAATCTGTCATGTTTTTAATGGATAACATGTTTCATTATCCTTCTTGTGGGATCATAGATGTTCATTCTATTTATTGATAATAGTTCTTAAAGCTTTCGTAGTTTGTTTTTACAGTGTTGTTATTGTGCAAATTGTTCTCTTGGTTTCGTTTGTTTCATTAGTTTTTAAAACTCAAAGTTTTTCATTTTTATAATATAAATGTTACAGATTATTGTTCTGCTTACTTTACTGTGTCTCAGTTCACATTAAGTGTTTGTATCTCTTTTAAATTATGTTTCCTCATTTCTTTCAGTGCAATAATATGCTCACATTCATCTACCCCAGTTTATTCAGCCATTTCTCAACTGATAGACATCTCCTTAATTTTCAGTTTTTGTTTTGCCACGCCACCACAAAACAAAGTTGCTATAAATATTTTATTCTTTCTTTCATCTCTTTTGAATATAGGCCTTGCAGTGGTAGCTGATTTTGTATATAGTTCCAGATTGCTTTCCAGAATGGTTGTACTCATTCACAGGTCCACCAACACCATATTCATGTACTTTTTTCCCCTCAGTTCCTCCAACATTTATCATTTTTCCTTTTTTTTTAATCTTTGCCACTTCATTGGATATGAGTTAAAATCTCAGAATTACTTTAATTTGCATTTCTTTAATTAGTAGTGATTTGGACCATTTTTCCATATTACAGATAGCCTGGGCTTCTTCCCTTGAGAAGTCTGTTCATATCCTTAGACCATTTAACAATTGGAGAATGGCTCATTTTCAAACATTTCCCCTAAATTATTGCTAACACTGTTAATTTATCAAACTGATTCCTCAAGGGGAAAATTCATTAATTCTTTTTTTAAAAAATTCACAAATTAAATGTGTTCCTTTTTCTTAATTAGTGAAAGTTCCTGACTTTCCTTTGTTTTAGGTTATTGGGAAAGCCCTTGTATCCTTTCATGTCTTTAGTTAATTTTCCACATTGTTACACAGATTATTCTTCTCTCCATCCTAAATTCTGTGAAAACATTTTTAATTTGATATTTTATTTTTGTAAAAACAAATTTTAATTTTTGAGTTCCAAATTCTCTCCTTCAGAACATCTCTTTATGGACATTTGATTTCTCAAATTCATCATGTCCAAAATGGAACCCTTCTCCCCCAACCTGCACTTTTCAATTTACTTATCTCTGAGAAAATCAGAATCAGCTTCAAAATAGTTTGGTTCTGCTTAAAAAATAAAATAAAAGTAGAACAATAGATCAGAATAGAGATCATAAAGATATCTTTCTGAAGGAATCAGATAGAATTGAACTCAATAATCCAGTTTCCCACCTAATTTCTTATTTCCAGTCTTGTGTTCATTCCATTTTGTTCCTAGTGGTCCCTGAATTTGATGTTCTAGCTAGGACTTCTCTCTCTACATTGGTGAAGGATCTCACCTGTTCCTAGATTGTTCCTCCTCCTTCCTGAAGACCTTGGAGCCTCTGCATTTTCTCTGTCTCTGTCTGGCTGTCTTTGTGTCTTTTGGATATTCATCCTCAGACTTCTGGTAGACAGGCAGCAGCTCTTTGATGATGGCTGTCTGTTCTCTGTCTCTCTAGTGCCTGATGCAGTGCTTAGACATAATGGACTCTTCATCAGTGTTTGCTGAGTTGAATTGACTGGCACAGGAGGCAGCCTAGTGTGGCCAGACATCAAGAGAGAGCCAGGCCAGGCAATCACTCAAATTCAGAGGAAGAGTTGAAGCCATTCTTGTGGCCACACTAAACCTAGTACCCATCACTGTGAGGTCTGGTTGCCTAAGATGGGGCTGACTAGCCTAGGCTGAAGTTTCTGTGCCAGACATTTGGATTGGGCCCATGAACAGTTGCTGTATTTCTGGGGTCTTTGGGAACTCAATCATTTCATTTCGTTTCCCTGAGGACAAATCTTCCTTTGGCTTGCATACAAAAAGTACCAGTGATCTAATCCAATCCTCCTAGCACTACTGGCTTCTTACAGAAGAGGAAATTAAGGCAAGACAGGTGAAAGGATTTCACCCATTGTCACACAGAGAGCAAGTTGCTGGGTTGGGTTTAAAATTTTCAGTGAAAACAGCACTTTTATAAGGGCAGTGAAATCATTTAGGTTTCTAGGTAGAGAAAAGTACTTGTGACTTGTATTGGTGCCCTAGATTAATACTGAGTGTTATAGTTACAGGGTATTTATTCATGTTTCCAGTTACTTAAGTGTGTGTTTGCCACACCAATTGTTTGATTACTTTAAAATTTCATATCTAGAAGATGTCCTCAAATATTTCTCTGATTTTTTTCTCACCAGAGAATCACATTTTGGAAGATGTAAACAAGTGTGTAATTGCTCTCCAAGAAAAAGATGTTGATGGCCTAGACCGCACTGCTGGTGCCATTCGGGGTCGGGCAGCCAGAGTCATTCATGTTGTCACTTCAGAGATGGATAACTATGAACCCGGAGTCTATACTGAAAAGGTTCTTGAGGCCACCAGACTGCTTTCTAATACAGGTGGGTCTGGGTGAATGTCTTTCTTGTTTCCTGGAGATCCAGGCAACTAGAATGTAGCAGCCCATACTAAATTATTTTGCCACTCTACTGAAGAGGAATGCTTAATCTGGATGGAAAATAATTGCATTTTAATTCTTCTGTAATAAATGTCATTTACTTTTAAGGAATTCAGCCTGTTAGTCGTAAACATAAGCACTTAGCGTGAATGGCAAGGAATGGGGAGTTGATTTTGTTATAAAAGCTAGTTGAAGAAGTTAGAACATCAGAATGGCCACATGACCCATGGTACTATCATTTTATTTCAGTTATGCCACGTTTTACTGAACAAGTGGAAGCTGCTGTGGAAGCTCTCAGTTCTGATCCTGCCCAACCAATGGATGAAAATGAATTTATTGATGCCTCACGATTGGTCTATGATGGCATTCGGGACATCAGAAAAGCTGTGTTGATGATAAGGGTGAGGACCTGTATTTGAGAGAGTTTAACTGTGCGTCATCATTTGCTCAGCTTCAGCAATGCAGCATTCTGAGGCTGAGCTGACTCAGTTACAATATATCAAAATCATGATTTTAAAAGCTATTAAAACCAGGTATTTAATTATGTTGTCAAAAATGACTCTTGAATGCAACCTAAAGCCAAAACTTTGTCAAAGCAGGGTAGGTCCAAATAGGTGTGATATGACAATTTAATTTAGGACAAAGATTCAATTCAAGGCTAAAAAATTTAGGTCTTAGATAGCTTAAAACTAAAATATCTCTTAAATGAATTTCAATGTATTTTACCAAAACAAGTAGTTCTTAAAACAAGTGTTAGCAATTCTTCTGGCACAGGGGATGAAGCATTGTACTTGGACTCAAGAAGGCCGGGTTTAAATCCTCCCTAAGACATTGTCTGTGTGACCCTGGGCAAATACCTCGCCCCACCCCCTCACTGTGTGCTCCTTTAGATATGTCGTGTATGTCCTGATTGGACTGGGGGAAAGGGGGGGAAGGTATGTGGGAGCTGTTATCAAGGTTAACAAAGTACAAGTGCTTATGCCCGGCACAGGTTAAGAAAGGAAAGGTTAGAGAAGATAAACATCTGACCAACAAGTGGAAGATAGGCATTTATCCAGGGCTCTTTCTACTACAGCACGTTAACATCTAACAGTAGTATATTTCATTTAAAATCTAATCAAATATCTAGTCAGAGGAAAGTCTGGTTATGGGTGCTTTAAACTTTGGCCTCTTGAATCAACTTCGAGACTCAGATTATGCAATTGAAGAGTTAAGAACCTGGAGTCAGGAAGACCTAAATTCAAATCCAGCCTCAGACATGTACTAGCTGTGTGATCCTGGGCAAGTCACTTAACCCCAATTGTCTCTTCTCAATAATCATATCTTTAAAGGTTGGTTCTTTCTATTTAGGCAGAGGAAAACAAATAGGGAGAAAATCTCAATTCACTTTTCCCTTTTCATAAGACCTAAAAGAGAAGGATTAATAGACTGCCTTTGGTATAAGTTTACATTGGCTTCTAAAAGGCTCTCATGGATGAATGAAACAAAACAGGGCCCTTGCCTATGAGGTCATTTAGATTCACTCATTAATGAAATGTATTGTTCCTAGAGCTTCCAGAAAACATTGGTTCTTTTTATGGTTTTAGAACATGAAAAATGTTATTAGAAATATGTGAGATCTTGAGAATTACCTTCTGCTAGAGCTGTAGGAGGCCTGGTGAGATGACCACCCTCACCTTAGGTCCAGGGCAAGAAGGCTGGACCTGCTTTGAGGACTGTTCACTGCAGGGAAAGATGGTGGCATTGGACCAGTCATGTTTGCCCTTTCTGGAGGAGATCACATGAGGTAGCGAGCTGGTAGAGCTGGCTAGCAAATCCCTTTCCTTTACTAGTTGACTCCTTATCATGGTGGATAGCCTTTGTACCAGTTTTTGTTATCTATAAACCTTGTATGTGTGCCAGCCTTTTTACCACATGGTTATGAGTAATTACCCATTTTAAACGAACCAGTATGACAGTGTAGAGAGCTGCCAAGAAGGTGGCGATCTTCCATGGTAGAAGTTTCCTCACCTGGGAATCCTTATATTCATGAACTCATAGGCATAGGTCCTGTATAATATCTATAGAAAGGTTTCTTAACCAGCAGCAAATAATCTGTAGACTTTTATTTGCAGAAACTACCAGATTCTAGGAATGTTAACTCCCCTTTGCATTTAACATTACCACCAGTTCCTTTCCACTTCCTTGTTGCTATTGTCATTTGCTTTGTCTTCCTGGAATAGCCAAAAAAACTTCATAGGCTGGAACTGTTGTCACCCTGAGATAGGGCATGATTTTTGTTAATTTTTCTCTTTTTTTGTATGATAGGAAAGGTGTAAGACTTAACTTAATGCTACTTAAGAAGCCTTCATTTTCAATGCAGCAGCTTCTGTCCATAATACTTTTCAGCTTTGTCTTTATTTGGAAGTATCTAGGAAATCCATGGTGTCCTGCACATATACAGGGAAATGACTAGCCTTAACTCAGCAGTGAACATTTAAATACTGAGACTTAACCAGACTTAGCCTATCTCCTCCCTGCTGAAGCAACAAAACAGACCCTTCCCAAAGCTGTGCCTGGGGCTCTTTGGGTAGCAGAGGGATCACTTGGTCACTTTGGGCAGTTTTCATCCTTGTACAAAAAAGCTATAGCAAAATATGTGTCATTGTAATTCATACCTCTGGTATAACCAGTTAGTCATATTTGCAAATAGTACATATGAAAAAATCTTTTGTTCTACATTTTCAGTTGCCTGGAGCTGTCAAAAACTAAACAGAACCCAAAGTTAGGCTGTTCGAGTTTAGTCTTCTGCACAAAAATTGAGCTAACTACAAGTTAGAAGCTCTCCATGTGGACACTGCAAATTAGTTTACTACCAATGTCATTAACCCTAGGCAGACTTTGTTTTCAGTTATATTCTAAACAATAGATTTGTGCTCTGTTCGAAGTTTATTAGCAAGGATGATGGTGAAAACATGAATGAAGGTTTTGGAGACCCTGTTGCTGAAACCTACTAACTGTTGTTTAATATTGTCTTATGGAATCTTGAGCATGTTATATTGATCCTTTTTACAATGTATTTAATAAATATGACACGGCCTCTGCATGGATTCATCTGTAAAGGATTATCCTGAGCAGTCACGTGTCTATCCCCAAGCAGTAATCCATGAATTAGAGGATGTTCCCACAAAAATTCGGTCCAAACCATAGTGTACTAAGAGTGCTTGCTGTTCTGTCTTTTCCCTAATGTGACTTTCTGACTAGAAGGCATGTGATTTATTTATCATTTGAAAGTGGCAGGCTGAATTTGGTTCATCTGAAGTGTTAACAAGACTTCTGAAATTGTTCTTTTGGTTTTAGACTCCTGAAGAGTTGGATGATTCTGACTTTGAGACTGAAGACTTTGATGTTAGAAGTAGAACAAGTATCCAGACTGAAGACGATCAGCTTATTGCTGGTCAGAGTGCTCGAGTAAGGATGTGTTTTCTTGGAGAAGATGGATGTTTAAACAGTTTAACCCCCTCTGAACTGTGTGGTCATACTCACACTCACACACACATACACAGCCACCTGAACCTGCTCTTTCTTGCAGAAGATACACTGTCAGTGTTTTGACCTCCATTCTTTATTCTTTCATGCAGTAGAAATGAAGCAGAACATTAAGGCACAAATAAAACTCTACTGTACTGAGGCTGAGTAGGCTGCAGAATTCTCCAAAATGTCTATAACGTTTAGTTCAGATAAAAAACTCGAAAGAAAATAAGCCTGCCCCTTTTGAATAGGGTTATGGCTCTTTCCCAGTGGAAATGAAACACAGATAATGAAGTCTTTGGTTCAAGAAAATGCATTAAGCCAAGAAATGACAATGGCTTTCATCCAAAGCCAATCCCTTCCCTTTGCAAGCTCTATTGTTTAGGCCTCAGATGTTAGCGTAGATGGGAAAAAATTAATTATTGACGGCTGAAATATTAGCAACACTACATTCGAGGAAAATAGCCGATGCTATTGCATTTATTTGAAGTATTGCATCTTCAACCACTATCATTTTTGTCTTCTTGGGAGGATGCCATGAAAAACTACTAGAGTAGGCTTTTTCATTCTTCTAAAATCACTTGAACAGTGGTTTCCTATTAATCAAATTTCTGACATTTAACTTTGGGAACTATACTTAGGAGAAACTATTCCAGGATTCCTTGGTCTGTGGTCATTTCCTTGCACTCAGGATAAGGACTCTGCCTTTCTTGAGTTGTCAGAGACCTGTGGCCTTCTTGGACCATTGTGCACCTCCCTTTACCATCTGCTGCCTGATCCCAGAGGTGGTCGTTGGACCTGTGGAAGTGCTTCTGAGCTCCAAGAAAACAAAATGGTGCTTTGATGAAACTTAAATGCAGGGTCACATGGTGGGGATTTATATTCCCTAGTGGACTTCTCTTTCCTCCTTTAGAGCACGCGCTTTAAACCACTTCTGAATCACCTTGAAAAAATATAAGACGTAAAGCACTATGCTAAAGTGAAAAACGTATGGTTTTTGGCATTCTCGGGAAGCCATTTCATAAGTTAGCTCCTTCCAGAGAAGGCGGAGTTTGAGGCATGAAAGATTAAAAAGGAGTTTGGTCACAAAATGAGGATGATCACAGAGCTGCATCAGCCTTCTGCTGATCTCACTCGGTTTCCCTTTAAGAACTTGTTCTTGCAGGTTGGTAGGTAATTTAAGTTATAAATTTCAATTCAAGATGAAAAGAAATAACCCTTCAGGCACAATGAAGCCTATTATGGTATTATCCTATCTGTGTGTCATAGATTGCCTGTTGGAAACATTCTTGGAAAAACCAGTCGGAATGACTGGATAATGTACTTGGAGAACTCTGTATTCTCTTTTTATGAAAACTTTATGTTCACTTTATTTCAGGCTATCATGGCTCAGCTTCCCCAAGAACAGAAAGCTAAAATTGCTGAGCAGGTGGCCAGCTTTCAGGAAGAGAAAAGCAAACTGGATGCCGAGGTATCCAAATGGGACGATAGTGGCAATGACATCATTGTCCTGGCCAAACAGATGTGCATGATCATGATGGAGATGACAGATTTCACCAGGTGAGCCCACATGGGAGCTTTCTGTAAGGCAGCATTGGCCACATTTCAGTAAGCAGTGGGAGAAGGGTGAGGGCTCTTGAATGCTTCCTGTACAAAGAAGCCAATGGATCCTTGCGATTTTTCTAGTAGCAAGTTAACACAATACATCCCTTATAGGGTTTCATTTTCTGAGGGGTATTAGACCACCCTGGTCACCGCCCCCCCCCCCCTTTTTTTTTATCTCCTAATGCTTATGACTAGATTCCCCTAAAGAGGGCCCTAGGAGGATATAGTGCTTGACACCCTCTACCCAAGTATCAGCCTTTCACTGCTTTCTCATAAGGTCCAGTATTTCTGGTCTTGATTATGAGTGTTTTCTGATTGTTTTTTTTGCAGAGGCAAAGGACCACTTAAAAACACATCAGATGTAATTAGTGCAGCGAAGAAAATTGCTGAGGCAGGATCAAGGATGGATAAGTTGGGAAGAACTATCGCAGACCATGTAAGCATCAGGGCTATATCTGATATGAGTAATGGCAGCAATCCTTATTTCTTACTTGTTACTCATACTCATTTGCAAAGAATACATGACCTCATGGAGAAAGCCAAAGAACAGTTTGAAACATATAACTGTGCCCTCCTCGAGCGTTCAGCATCACAGAGGATGATACCAGACAGTGGAGCATTTGGGACATCCAGCTTTGGAGGTACAGAACGCAGATGGAGGTGCAGAATGCTGCTGAAGTTTAAAAAAAAAAAAAACCAGCCCAGACTCCTCAGGAATTGTTACACTATTCTATATAATCTGAAGAACCAGCATTTGCTTTTAGCAAAATTAACATAATATAGAAATTTTTTAAAAGCAATTTTCATGAATGTTAATTTTCTCATTTGGATTTCATCATCTGACTGGCTTTTATGTCCCCTTAATTTTCTTTTTTTTTTCCCCATACTACATTATGGATATAATTAGGTAACTTGTGATATCTTAGTTCATGAAGCTTGTTCCAAACACATCCCAGTTGCCTGCTTTCCCTCCCCCTCGAAGGAAGTCTGTGCTGCAGCCCTTAGTGAGCAGGCCCAGGCGCAGATCATAATAGCTCACATCATACAGTGCTTTACAAAAGAGCCATCATCTGTCTTTAGAGGACTACTAGGTTAAAAATACTGTTTTACCTTCCAGTGTCCAGACTCGGCCTGCAAACAGGACCTCCTTGCGTATCTACAGCGCATCGCTCTCTACTGCCATCAGCTCAACATCTGCAGTAAAGTCAAGGCAGAGGTTCAGAACCTGGGTGGGGAGCTTGTTGTCTCTGGGGTGAGTTTTCCTAAAAAGTAAATTACTGAATGTGAATAAAGTGGCTTAGCTCTGAACAAACTCGGTTCATATTAGTTGGGGCCTGACACAGACATAATCTGCAATGGCCTTCAGTGAAAACAGCCAATAAGGTAGCTGTTTCACAGTGTAGACCCAAAAACACACTTTGCCCAAGGTTTTGATTTCTGACCTAGGTCTTGGGGGAAAAGAAAACAAAGGTAAGTAGACCAGATATTTAACATACATTACTTGGTGGCCCTAAGCCATGTAGCCGTGTACTGTTGAAAGTAGCTGAGAGCAGTTGCCAAGAACATTAATTCACTAATTTGGAAAAAGAAAGTTTTTATACTCAGAGTTTTCCATCTTAGCCACAAAGAAGATATGGTCATGTAAAGTGGGACACATGGGCTAGCAGCTCAGAGAACCTACTTAAATACATATGATCATATTTTAAATGGGACCTTAGAAACAGTCAGTCCTTGTTTGAGTGAGAGCTGTGATTTTCAAAGTGTGGGTCCCTTTGGGCCCTGCCCCTAGCTCACCACAACCTGGGTTGAATCATTCATTTATACTTATCACCACCATCAAGGTGGAATTTGGAAAATCGGGGGGTTTCTGAAAGGAGTTACGGCATGACAGATGCATTGGAGTGAGTGCCTTTTAGGACCCGTGTTGCTTTTCAGAAATATAAGTGAGCTAGATGGGTACAGACCTTGTCTTGTTAAACATTAGTGTTCTAGAATGAGCCTCACAGACCAGCTGCCTGGCACACCCATCTCGGTTCTGGCATTGCTGAATGGGGGGAGCCATTTAAGGTACAGGAAAACAGAAGGAAAAAAAAAATATTTGCTTCTAAGTGCAAGCTCATCTGGTTGTAATAGAAATAGTGGGCATTCATGTCTGCCAGAGGTGATTATTAACCAACTACCAGGCACTCGTTGGCTCGTTAGCAATACTGTTCAAAGCTGAAGTGCCCTCTTTATTTCCAGTGACTCTTCATCCTGGAGAGAATAGGGTTTACAGGGCATTCCTCCTAACCTATTTCATGTAAGAGCAGGTTTCTGAAATTTCCATGGGGTTGTAGATGGAGGCTCTAAGCTAACCCCCAGGCACCGCTTGACTACACAGAAGTTCTCACATTGACCTCAGGTCTCCAATAGTCTTAGCCAAAATTGTGTGGGCTTCTGAGGCCTTTCTCATGGGTTTCTTTCTCATTAGATTGAAATGAGGATCAGAACCACCCATGCTTTTTCTTCCTTGCCTCTGGTCATAGACACAAAGTAATGTTAATCTCACAAGAATTTTTTTTGGTCTACATTCCAAATCAAAGGAAATACTAAATTTCATCTATGAGTCAGGTAAAGTTGGACTATAAATTTTTTCCCTTCCATATTCATGTATTCACTGGTATTTTAATCAAGAAGCACTATGTCAGCAGTATTGATTCTCTATTCCCCTATGCCTACTATGAAGCAAAAGAGTTTAACATCTTTGCTATCTTTCCCATGGTTTCAGTGGTCTCCCTACCTGCCTCTAGTTGCATCTTCACCTCCAGGACAAAACCTTAACTCCTTATATGCACAGAGGTCTCCCCCTGCCCACCACACACACCATCTGCCTGGGCCAGTCCTAAGATGAACCCATATACATATACCCCTTTTCTTGTCCTCCTCTGGGACTCAGTGTGGATCAGAGGGTCTTCGTTTTGTTTGTTAAGGCGTATAGACTCCTTAGAAAAGGGTATTACAAGGCACAGGATTACAAAAGAAACCGATTATTTTGGAATACGGTCATCAGATGTTTTTTAAAACAAGTTCACAGATCCCAGGATGTATAATTCCATCACCAAACCAAAGAGTGCTATTACAAATATAGTTGATGGAACTCTCGATATAGATTCCTGGAGGGGAAAAGGGCACTGAGTTTGATTTAAGTACATAACCATCCTCCATCCCAAGTCTCTAAGAGGCATGTTGTGTTTTGTGACCCCAGGTGGACAGTGCAATGTCCCTGATCCAGGCGGCCAAGAACCTGATGAATGCTGTGGTACAAACTGTGAAGGCTTCCTATGTGGCCTCCACCAAGTACCAGAAATCCCAGGGAATGGCTTCTCTCAACCTCCCTGCTGTGTCCTGGAAGATGAAGGCCCCAGAAAAGAAACCCTTGGTGAAGAGAGAGAAACAGGACGAAACCCAGACGAAAATCAAGCGGGCATCTCAGAAGAAGCATGTGAATCCCGTGCAGGCCCTCAGTGAGTTCAAGGCCATGGACAGTATCTAGAGCGGCTTTGGCCACTCACACCCTCTGCCACTGTCTTCTCTAAACTAACTTTCCTTCAAATGGCTTCTGTGAATCATAGATATTTCCTGTTCATTCAAATGTATTTACTTAATATAATGTTGATATTAGATGCTATGAGAATGTAGATTTTTTTAAAAAACCTGACCATGTGATACCAGTATGAGAACAAGCTTGTACTTCAGTGGAGAATGCTTTTAGATTCCAGAAGCATTATTTTAGTTGCATTTTTTAAAAAATATAAGCTTGAAGAAAAACTATAACCAAAGAGATTGCTAACACTATTATATCATGATGTGTCTGTCTCCCTGACTGAAGGTTTGCATTGTGATTGAGAGGTTTGTGTCATCAGTGAACAAAAAGGTGGGGACTATCACTTTTAGTATTCAGGAGGAAAATTGATGAGAAAATATGCCACGTTATACAACTTTCTAACTCAAAGCTTTTGAATTTGGAAGAGAGCAATTGGGTACTTTTCACTGTGGAGAAGGCTGTCTTCAAAGAAACCATTTTGGGCAGATAGATAGATAGGCTGTTATTAAATTAAAAAGTGACCGTGAGTGCCTAGGCCTGCCCATTCGGACGTCTCGGAGAGCCCAGTGTTTACCAACGTTGGCAGTAACCCTTGTGTGAGGGATTTCATGTATGTCTGCAAAATGACAATCTGTCTGTAAGAAATTCAGTAAAACATAATGCATCATGAAGAAAACTGATTACTCTCTTTAGGACACAGGATGAGAATTTTAATGCTTGGTTACAAATTACTAATGTACTTTGCTGCAGGACATTAATAAAATTGCTCTTTCCAGCCGGTGTGTTGTGGTGCTGTAATAGTAACATGTTTTTTGCTTTCTCTCAGTATTCAAATGCAAATTTGTCATTGTGCTCATTTCTAATAATTGTGGTGTTTCCTGCCTTGGGCTTATAAAAGAAGTCTTGCAAAATAGTGTTTGTTCAGGCAATAATTTCAACTTTACATTATTTGTGATTACTATAGCGATTACTATAGCTACAAGGTATAATTTTTACTGTTTTATTTAAATTTTATGAATTTGAATATTTTTTACACAAACTTTTCCCAATAAAGTGCATGATGAAATCCAGCCAAGTGGGCCAAAGTTTCTCTCCCCTTTCCTCTCAAACTATTTTCATCAGGTACAATTTTCAAATTAAGTGACCTGTCTTAATCCCCCACTGTATCTAGGACCAACCTTTTCTCTTTTCATATTCTCTTTTCATAACTCCCACAGTCTCTTAAGAAAAACCATCCTATCCTACCCTTGCCCTCTGAAAGTGAGTGACCCTCCTATGTGGGAATGAGATAGGATTGGATGGCAAACTTAATTAAACAGGAAAGACTGTTGTATTGATTCCAACAGAACCTTTATATGTAATTTTTTAAAAGATCAATAGTTTAACCAATGTGGTAAGAAAATTATCACACCCTCTTTTGTGTATTGACACATTCCCCACGATTCAAAGCCTTCACTTGTAACACATTCATATAGTCAACTAAAACTAGTTAAACACTGGCAATGTCTGGAGACGTGCACTATCACACATGCAGCTCTTCAAAAAGCTTCTGTGAGCGTGAGCCAGCAGCTGCTAGTGACTGACCCTCTAGCTCACGAAGACTTACAGCTTTAAATCTAGTCAGCCTTTGGATCAAGAAGGCCTGGATTAAAATCTCTGCCTCTAAGAGAGTGTCCTATGAGGGGCCCCTGCTTAGCAAATACATCAGCTACCTTATGGGGCTAATAGAAGTCCCAGATGAAATGGTTTAAAGTGTTATATAGTCAGTTGATAAACATTTATTAAGCACCTACTACATGCCAAGCTTCGTGCTAAATACTGAGGATGCAAAAAGAGGCAAAAGTCCATCCCTGCCCCCAAGGAGTTCACAATCTAATGACTGATATATGTACATACACATACTACATCGTATATAAGTCGGAGATGCACACATTCAGAGTCATTGCTCCAAATGTTCATATGGACTATTGATGCCTGGCCTGTGGTAGAGCTTTCTGAGCTGGTATTGGTCTGATCAGCCACAGCGACACGTAGCTTGACCCCAACACTATGATGTCATTTTGGTCCACTTTGAGAACGAAGAACAACCAGCTTTGTCATAGTATGTGAGTTGTCATCACAGAATTATAAAAATTGTACTTGGGCCAGATTTGGTCACCTGGAGGAGGAGTAATAGAAAGAGGAATGGTTTTGATGTCAGAGAACCTGAGTTCAAACCCCAACTCTTTCTGCTTACAACCCTAAATCTATTTATGACCCCTTCCCCCAGCCCCATTTCCATGGCTATAAAACTGGGCTGATTTGCAGTAGACAGATGAGATTGTGCCCTTCTCCTTTAATTAGCTGTGAGCAGCTCCCTACAGAGGGCTAACATGAAAAAAAAATACATTTATACAACAGATTAAGGAGTAATTATTTGTTTTATAGAGGGATCCACAGTAGGATTTTTATTAAGAAAAAGCCAGCTCTTTTGTTATACACTTAAAAAGACTCGATTTACAACATCTGTTGCAGAAAGTAGAACATCCATTGTAGCATATAAGACAAATCCTTCCTTCAGCTCTAATTGGGAATGGGCAGCAGGACAAAATTCTGCAGGGAAAGCTGCCTCTGGTTTCAAAATCTTACAGTAGGCCTTCATTGAACCCTCCTGCCAGGTATCTAAAGTGTACATTTCCCTTGTTTTCTCTCTTCCCCTGCATCCCTTTCTCACTGGAGGATATTAAATGAAATAAATGAAGAGCTGTGAATATGTGAGAAACAAAGAATGGTCAAAGAGAAGTCCCAGAGAAATATACTACCTCCTCCCCAAACGGGCTCTAAAAATATTCTAGGTCAAAAGACAGGCCAACAGGGCAGCTAGGTGGCGCAGTGGATAAAGCACCAGCCCTGAAGTCAGGAGGACCTGAGTTCAAATCCAGCCTCAGACCAAACACTTGACACTTACTAGCTGCGTGACCCTGGGCAAGTCACTTAACCCCAATTGCCTAAAAACAAAAAACAACAACAGAAAGACAGGCCAACAAAGCTGCCAGTCCTAGATGATCCACTGTTCCTAGGTCTGGAAATTCTTCCCATCAAGTTGCTCCCTGGCTCCCAGAAACTAACTGTCCTCCCGCAGCGAGCTCTCAAGCTTCCATGTTCATTCCTTCATTTCTCAGGTACAGGGACCTGGCCCCAAACAACTGAACTTAACCCATTAGAATTTCTTCTTAGGCACTGCATTCCCTGTCCATATGGTGGAATCACCTTTTCCTTTTCCTTCTTTCATCTCCATTTTGTCAGCCTGCAAATCTTACTATTTCCTCCTCCCAAAAACCATTGTTTTTTACCCATCTTCATTTCCTCTGCCCTGCCTCAGTTCTGGACTGTTGCTATGGCCTACTATCTGTTCCCAAATCACTTTCCTGCAAAGAGTAGAGGATTATTTCTAACACACTACACCCATTCCCATGCCCAGTCAGATCAAGTCCTAACCCCTGTCTCATATGGTCCCAAACTACCCTAAATGCCAAATAGTCCCTTCCATGAACCACTCTTCCAAACAGGGCAATCATACTACCACCATGTTGTAGCCACAAGTCCCTTATTTGTCCCTGGCTCTTAGGTAAGAACACAGAGAAGATGTATTGCCCATCGGGACAGGTTGTAAGATCCACCATATCTGTACTACCCCTCCCTATTCTCTGCTGAGAACCCTAGGTCCCTGACCTGGCTGGTACCACTCCCAGAGCATTTTGGGAGGAGAAGAGAATGCTATCTCCTTTCGAGCCCCTGGGCCACAGGTTATGGGGAATAATAAAGCTGGCTGGGGGGCTCTTTAGACACAGCCCCCATTTATTCAAAAATTTGTGCCCCCAGAGTAGCCGCCTCTATGTACCTTGTCACCAGTCTGCGTGATCATCACACTCCATACGTTACAGTGCCCAATATACTAAAAATAAAGACCTGTGGAGGGGAAGGAGAATGCAAAGAACCCAGTCTCTAGTCCATGGAAATGGCAGTCTGGGAGCTTGGTCAGCTTCATGCCAACTCACAGCAGAAATGTCTTCATTTGTTCTGCTGATTCTATTTATCTCCCATATTAGAATGGGAGCTGTCCAAGGTCAGGGAGCACATTCTCCAATATGAATCGGGATGGACAGGCACAATGTGGACGCTCTGTGAATGCTGAAGTGACTTCAAACTAGAAGCTATATCTCAGGGGTCCCAAGGAAGGGCAGTCTCCCACAGAAAACAGTATACCTGGTTTCTATTCTTAAAACTCCAAGGCAACAGCACACACATCCCCATATCATGCTTCCCTTAGTGATGCCAAATACCGTACTGGATAGACCAGGCAACTTGTCCACCACCCCACCCCTACCCCACCCTCTCAGCCCCTGCAGGCCAATTACCTGGAAGGATTTAATGAGGATCCTTACCCTGGTTCCCTGCATGCATGAGAGAAACTACCAACCACGAGTTGCCGTTCAGACCAGACAAATTTCCCCTCTCTGAAGGCTCTGGCATGATCTGCCAATGAAAAAGAAAAGGGCTTAAGGGATACATGTGTTCTCCGACTCCCTGTCCTACCATCGCTGCACTTCATCCTTTTTTTTTCTTTGTCCTCAAATGGCAAATGAGAATACACTGGGATGAGTGAAACTACCATTAAGAAAAAGTAGTGAGTGCTCTGGGGATATTCGTAAAGTATCTCCACTTTTCCATCTCTGGGAATGTCTCAGCCCAAATTCAATCAAACGTGAACATGTTTATTCTTGTTCCACAGTCCCAGGTCCCCCAGATCATGGGCACTGAAGGCAAGCTGACTGATTAAGTGGCCTAGAGTTTGGGCAGAGGCCCAGAGTTAGAACATGGAGAAGAGCTGGGGGGAAGAAGAGGAAAAGACAAAGGCAGAAACTCCCCAAGTACCTCTCATTGCTTGGTCGCCCTAGATTCCATTTGTGCTGTTGGTACGACTTAACTCTCATTCAAGAACAGGAGCTCTCTCTCCAAGGTCATGGACCATGTTCTACAATATCTCACACAATACACTGAATAAGGATGGATGGGCAGGCCCTTGGGGGGCACTCAGTAAATACCTAACTGGCTCAACACAAAGTCCTGAAGGGGAAGAAGTCAAGAAGCATTCATTAAGTGCCTACTATATGCCAGGGAGTATGTGCTGGGAATACAAAGAAATAGTCCCTGCCCTCAAGAAACTCATACTCTAATGCAATATGAAAATGAATATGTGCAAACAAGATATATTCAGAATAAATTGGGAGGTAGTATCAGAGGGAAGCCCTAGTAATAAGGGAAACTGAGAAACACTTTTTGCAGAAGGTGAGATGTGAGTTGAGACCTGCAGGTAGTCAGGAGGAGAAGGTTAGGAATGAGGACATTGAACAGGGGTATAACAAAGCAGAAAAGTGAAGAATGTCTGAGGAATCTGCCAACACGACAGATGAGATGATGACAGTATCACTCTCCTTCCACCAAAAGTCTCCCATGGCCCTAGTGACTGCATCTCCCAGGCCTTGGAGCCAGCTGTGGCGCCTTCATCAGTATGTGGGGGATAGGAACAAAGCCAGTGTCCCGTTCCTTCCTGCCTTTTCCAGTGGTGCCTCTGAAAGGCTATAAATATCTATTGCTCTTCCTAGAGAAGAAAGAGAGCTGAAAGGCAAAAACTAGAGAGAAATTAGACCAGAACCAAAAGAAATGAGATCCTAGACCAGTACATCTGATCACAGGACCTACCCTTTCTGACCTCATGGGTCTAAGGTGGGTGGAATGTTGCTGGGAGCAGTAATGGAGCCCAGGAAACTACACTACCCCAACCTTGCCCTCCCTTTGCCCATAACTCCCCATCTATGTCCCTGGGGGCTCCTCCAACTTTCATCTTTCAGTTCTCTTCCTTGAAGTCTCCACGCAGCAACTCTGATGGTAGGGGTGGTGGGTCCAGTCAACAGTTACACCTCTGTTGTACTGGGTGCTGAACAATGTTCAACCTCATTCTGCTATCCCCAACCTTCTCACACCCTGGTTGGTACAGGCTAGAAAGGGCTGAGATCATGGGGAGAGAAATAATGAAATGGGGAGATCCCCACAGAGAAAGGGCCCCAAGCTCTCAGCCAGCTGCCATGAATTGCCATTTCTACCCTGAGCAGGATAAGAAAAGCAACATGGTTAGTTAGGTGTATGAAACTGTCACCCCAGGGCCATAATTCTGCCCTACCCACTCAAGGAAAGGTAGGGAGACTAGAAAATCTTATGCAAAGTGCTTTTCAAACCTTACCTTTTCCAAGTAATAAACTGGAGCCTTTTAGGAAGGGTCAGGCAGAGTGACCTGGAGGAAAGTAGCAATCAGGCTACCCATCTGAGCATCTATATCCCACAGCCCTCCCCACTGGGCCTCAACTTTAATCCCTGGACCCGAGGAGCCAGTCCCTGTCAAAACTTAAGCTTTCTTGTGTTTTCTTCTCTGGAAAGGAAGGGAGGGAGGTAGCCCAGTCCGGCTGGTGCATTGGGAAAGGTAGAAAAACAAACATACAGGAATCCAAATCAGGAAACCCCAAGCCAGAGTTGCCATAGCAACATGGATGCAGCAGGCTCACAGCTGCCGTGCACATTCTCTCCTCTGCACCCTTGCTAGGCAGGGAGGGGGAGGTAACTGGGACTGCCGCGCAGTCCACACAAGAGCCCTGGGCCTTCGCCTCTCCCTAACCTCATATACGACCTCTTTTGGCTGGTCATCTAAAGTCCCAGGCCAGCCTGGTTGGGAGAGAGAAAGAAAATCTGGCAGCACAGAGAAGATATCTGCTAAAGGCAAAAAGAAAGGTGCTAGTTCTCAGAAAGCCTAAGATCCAGCTCTCCCCTCCAGCCCCGTCCTTGGCCAGGATACTCAAAACATCACTCATCTGTGATGTCACTGGTGGTCTTCAAAAACGGAGGACCACCAGTAACAACCACCCCCACTACCACCAAGCAAAAATACTGCCCCTAAAAACCCCCGCGTCAAAGGAAGGTGCATTTATCATGTCTGATGCCCCGCGCTCATGGCCACGTCTCGCCTGTATGACTTCACAAGCGAAACTTCACCTCTCTGAAGTTTCCTTATCTGTAAAATGGGAATAACAATCCCTACCCTCAATTCCTCAGGAAGACCAAATGTGATAGCAACAAAAGCTCACATTACTACGCTAAATTATACTGAATTTAAGGTTTACAAAACACCTCATCCACATTCACTAACCTCAGAAAAAGACAGCATAAATTTAATCCAAACCACGGCCAAGTCACTTAATATGTAACTCTGAACTCTTAAGACTATAGAATCTCTGAACCCAGTCTTCTCATCTGTAAAATGGTGATGATAAAACTATCAAGTATATGTCCTATAGGATTACCGTCCAGAAAGATCTTTGTAAATCTTAAAAGTGCCACAGAAATACAAGTGATGATTACGTACAGAACTGAAAACCGATGCTTGGAAAGAGTTCGGATTCGGTCATCCGTGGGGTAAGGGGTGGAGATGCCATATTCTAGTGGTCAGCAGGCAGGGGACTGCAGTCTGGGGTGCTGGGAGGAAGTTTCCCTTATGCAAACTAGCCCACAGGGGAGTGAACCTCATGACTTGGCCAGGCATGGCAATACCATGTCCAAACCAACATCCACAAGGCCAGACAAGAGTCACTCTCCTCAATACCGGCCTCACTGACTTGGAATATCTGATTGTTGAACCTAAGAGATATTCACCTTTTAGGCGTCCTGGAACCTTGGACAGTCTGATGAAGTGTATGGATACCTTCTCAAAATAATGTTTCTAAATGCGTAAAATAATTACAAAGGAAACCAATTATATCAAAACACAGTTATCTAAATATTTTTCCCTTTCAATTTCACAGACTACCTTAAAATCTGTCCACAAACCCCTGAAGGAATCCCAACTTCAGAACCTCTGACTTAACCTGATTTAGCAACGCTGCACATAAGGCCCCATTGCTCAGATTTCCCCTATTCATCCCAACCCTGCTACTTGCCTCCTGACCAATTCTGAGAATTTCTATCCTGCACACTCTAGTGTAGATGTACCTCTACCACCTGACGATCTCCAGATCAGAACTGTCAAGAAGATTAAAAAGACAAACAAACAGCAAACTTTCAACACCACCATTTAATGGCCAATACAGGGTCAGCAGGACATGTCAGCGTCAGGGTGGCAAGTCTTCCCTCAATCCCCAAGAGTTCCTTTGAATGCCGTGCCTCCCTCTCTATCCACCACTGGCCCGAGGGGTGAGCTCATCGAAGCTCCTGGATGAAGCCATTGATGGTGCCCAGCATCTCCTGGAAGTAACCATTCTCTTCCCCGTCCTGCTGTTCCAGAGCTGCCAGCTCCTGGTACTCGTCCCGTAAACCTTGCAGCGTGCTGCTGAGTAGGATATCTTGGCGGTAACGGTCCCGACAAGGGGTGAGGAGGGCACTCAGGGTCCGCAGCACTTTCTCCCGCATGTCATGCTCCGGCAGCCCTAGCAGACCCGAAACGATGCCACACCAGCCCTGCTCCTTAAGTCCCGGCATAAGCTCCACCTGGCGGTACTGCTGTACCTTCTCCTCTGGGGGATCCTGGCCATGCTCAGCAGTCTCTACCAACATCTGCACCAGACAGGGAGAAGGAAAAGCAGAAAGGGACACAGAGTCAATACCAAGTCACCAGATATCCCAGCTAGCCAAGGCACCAAAATCAAGGTGAAATATGGGGAAAATTTACATTTATAAGGCCAAGAGGGCAGAAAACTGAAAAAAAACAAACAAAAAAAACACAAACAAAAAAAACTCCACTCATAAACGAGAGAGAATTGATTGTGAATCTGAATACTGTCAATTTTAAAATAACCTGCTGTCCTTCACATACAGAGATATGCCACTGACTCCCATCTACCCTAAGTGATTTATCCAAGAATGAGACTAGTTTACACTGATGTAATCACATGGGCACATGCTCATGTGTGAACTAGCTAGCTGGGTGACAGAGAGAGTAAGCTCAGGTGGCAGGAGCAAAATGACTTCTGAATCCCTCACCTGCCCTACCCTGCACAGGCCTGTCCTATCCTTCCTGCCCTCTGCCCCCACCCCTGGGTAAGGGAGCTCCAGATAAGGGGGTGGGGGGTGACTGACCTTGTTCTTCATGGCCAGAGGATTCTGACAATTGTCAGCTCAATGTAAGAGCCAGAAAAGGAGGATGAGGAGGGGAGGGGTGTGGGAAGGGGGGGGTGTGCCTTTAAGAACCAATCCCTGGGCCCAGATGGCCACCTCCTGTGATAATGACTATGTGCACACTTTACTAATTAGATTTGAACACCACATGTCTTTTTGCTATTACAGAAGACTACGGCGTCACCAGTTTCAGTTGAGAGCAATTCTACTAGGCGAGGGGAAAAGCAGAGAAGAGGACAAGGAAAGCCCAGAGGTACCTGTCCTCACTGACTAGGGAAAAGGAGGAGGAATGTGGTCTCCTGGCTTCAGCAGCTTTCTTCTCTTATCTCCTGCTTGAGAACTACAGGGCCTAACTTGCTCAAACGATCCAGAAGAGAAGGTCCTCACTGGGAAAGCCCCTAAGAGAACCACGTCCATTCTCTGGACAGCTTGAGTTCTGATCCACTGGCCCACTTCACTCTGTCATTTATTACTATATTTCTCAGACTTTAAAATGACAAATTAAGAATCACATCCAAGGCCTGATTCTCCAACCCTCCTTGATTAGCACTTGTAACTCTGTAACTTACTCAGATACATCATAGACTCATCAAGTCAGAGATCTGGAACTGGAATAGACCTTAGAAGCCAACACGTCTCACCAGAGGAGTGAAATGACATGCCCAATGTCAGGGAGCTGGTGAGAATCCCAACTCTCTGGGGCCTGCGGAGCTCTAGCACACAGATTGCACACTCAAATTCTCCCAGCCCCTGGAACAAAATAGCACCTAACGGAGCCCAAATTAGCACTCTCTGGGAGAGGAATCCATGATATTCCTCAAACATGTTCTAATAGCCTTCAATCTTTCTTTCACAAACCCGTCCGAAATATCCTCCTCAGGCCTCAATGGGGCAGGTTGGAGCACTGATAAGTTCCCTCCTGTGGGGAGAGATATATAGACCCAAGAAGGAAAGTGAGGGGTGGGAAGATTGGGTCAGGGAGGGGTGGATGAGAATCCAAGGACAGAGGAAGAAGGAATCCTGGTGGCTCTATTCCTAAAGTGGCCAGGAGTAGGAGAAGACAACAGAGAAGGCCCCATCTTACCCCTGGGGCTCATCAGTCTACACATCTATTAACAAGAATGGCCCTAGTACAACAAACATGTAGGGTGGCAGAAGCGGTGCCTACCCCCCCATCAAGCACTGATTCACTTAGTTCAGACGAAGGACCACATACAGTTCCCAGGACTAGAAAAACAGAATGACCCCCCCAAAAGTTGACTCCTCCTAATTTTCCAGCAGTTCATCTAAGGAGGGTTATAAGAAAATGCTTGCCTTGGAATATGCTTAAACTCTCTGGCAGCTACAGCCCTCTGGCCGGGCCCTGAGGCCTTGCCACTGAGAGGCTCCTGACATGGGGGAGGGTCCCTGTCTCCTCAAGGAACCTCAAAACGGACCTTGTAAAACCAACCAGTCAATTCCCCAGGTGTCCTTACCATTTGTCTCATAGAGCCCTTTCACACAAAAGCAAGAGAGGAGAGACTGGTATTAAGCCCTTAGAGATCATCTAATCCCAATTCTTCATTGTACAAATAAGGAGGTAGAGGAGAGAACGCAGGACAGCACGTGTCAGGCCTGGAGTCAAAAAGAACTGAGCTCAGACGTGACCTTAGATACTTACCTGTGTGACCCTAGGCAAGTGACATAACCTCTGTCTGCCTCAGTTCTTCATCTGTAAAATGGGATAACAGCACCTCTCTCAGCGGTGTTGTGAGAATCAAATGAGATAATCGGCATAAGGCGCTTTGCACACCATAAAGTACCATATAAATGTGCGCTGTTGTAAGAAAACTGAGGCCCAGAGACAGGAAGTCACCTGCCCAAGATCCCACAGTAAAAACTGACCCCACATCCTGGGACTCCCCTATCTCATGCTGCCTCAGTACAAAGTGGAAGGAGATCCAAGCTGGAGAGGAGGAGGAGCTGAAGACAACATTCACCTTCTCAGTGACCAGGTCATACAGCAGGGTGACCACACGCACGGCCAGCATCTCCATGCCTTTCTCGTGGACCAAGCTCCTCAGGACCTGCAAGCCTCCCAGCTTCAGGAACTGCTGCTGAGCGTAGGGAAAGTGCCGAAGGAGCGAAGACAGAGCGAACAGCACCTGCGGGGGAGCGGGGTAGGGTGAGGCCGGGGGGCAACGCCAGGGCTCCAGGGCAGATCTCCTGACTGTGAGGTCCTGCACCAGCTCCCTAACGGGCCCAGAGTAATCACCCTCTGAACACACACTGAAAACCAGAGCAGGCCCAGACCTCCCGATCTAAGCACACACTGCTTATGCCAGCTGCCAAACCTTCCCCTCCTCAGCAGCGAGGACACTGAGCACCGAGGACAAAGCCAGAAGGAGACACGAAGGGGGTACCTTTTTCTTCACAGTCACAGGATGGTCAGTTGCCAAGATGACCAGCAGCTTCTGGAGGGCACCACCTTCAACCGCCTCGACCTGGACCTTGGGATTACTGTAAGTAGAGAACAGAGGAGAGGATGACCTCTCCATTTCTTCATGTGTTCCCAGAGCCGCCCTCCCATCCAACTGGCCATCAAGTAAACAAGGATCTAGTCAATTTGGCAATGAGTATTTAAGCCCTTAGTATGTTCCAGGCACTGTGAGACCCAGGGGCACATAAAAGATTGCCACAATCACTACTCACAAGGAGCAGACATTTTAATGTAGACATATATGTAGTAAATTACACATGTAGACAACACAGCACAAACATAAAATGAATACATGCACATATAGACAAAGCAGTTAAATACAAGGCAGTTTGTGAAGGGAGGCTCTGGCTGCTGAGGAGCTTGGGAAAGACTTCATGCAGAAGATGGAGCCCAGGCAGCATCTTACAGGAAGAGAGAGACTCTGTCAAGCAGATGTAAGGAAGGAGGATGGAGCGTGCAAAGCCTGGAGATGAGCGATGGACTGTCATGAGGGACCGAGGAAGAGGGAGGCCAGCGAGGCGAAATGTCGAGGCAGAGCCTAGATGTCTCACACTGTAATATATGGGACAAGGTCTGAAGAGACCAGGGCCTGGGTGTGCTGGTGCCCACCAGGGGAGGCGGAAGAGAGTATGGGCCAAGCCACCCCAGCTTCCCTCTACTCCAATGAATCAAAAAGACCATGTGTTTAATCAAAGCAAGAGCTAATTGGGGCCCTCTTAGCCACCCTGGGCCTGAAAAATGCTCACCCAACACAAGTCAAGTCAGAAGGAGAGCAGCCAGGCTGAGTGATTTACATAGACATCAAACACTATTTTCCAAGGAAGGGGCAAACCAGACCTTTGGAAATGCTACCAAGGAGCCTCATCATTTATTGTCCTTTGGAATAGAGAGGCAAAGGGAAGGCACTGTAAGAGACAGCACACACAGCTCCATCCCAGCCTATAAATCTGCAAAGAATGAAATTCTGGGCAGAGGATAGGAGAAGTTTGTAGAGAAGGGAAAATTGGTGTGGCATACCCTGAAAACAGGATTAGAGGAAAGAAAGGGAGCTACGAGGGATTTTCTGGTTGGTGGGGATGGGGAAGGTTAGGAACCTAGTCCCTCAATATAATTTGGGGTCTCACTATCACACACACACACACACGTATCCTTTTAGATCTTTGTTGTAAAATCAGTGATAAAAATGTTTTCCATACCTCTCTCACAGGGTTCTTTTTGAGAATAAAAGGAAATAATATGGGAAAACATTTTGAAAATTATAAAATGCCTCACAGGGTTCTTTTTGAGAATAAAAGGAAATAATATGGGAAAACATTCTGAAAATTATAAAATTACAATTTTGAAAATTATAAAATCTGTAGATCAGTCAGGATTATGGGAGGAAGATGGAGAAGAAATGGCACCACACCTGTAATTTCTCTGGTCTGTGGAACAGTTTCTCACCTCTGTCCAGGCTGATTTCACAACCCTGAATACCCCTCACTGACACTTCCCAAAATCCTGTTGATCATGTAAGAGCCAGTTTAAAAACCACCTCCTCTACAAAGCTGTCCCTCTCCATCAAGAATGATTGCTCCCTCTGGGTTCCCAGCACACTTTGTTTTTACTTCTCCTCCAGCACACATCACAGAGTCTTGTCACATAATTATTTATGTGTGTGCAGGATCATAAAACGTTAGAACTTAAGAAATAGAATAATAACAACACCTTGCACTGTGCTTTAAGGCTCAAAACACATATGTGAAATTGGAAAGCTCTGAGACAGGACACAACTTGCTTGAGGTCACCCAGCACCTTGGTACTGGGCCAGGACTGGCATTCACAGGCCCCTCCACAGAGATCACTTATTCCAATGTAGACCCAATGTCACAGGACCAGGCCCCGGTACAAGTCTGACCAGGTCACTTTTCTACTAGGGAAACACCACTGGCTCTCCTTTCTCTGTGCCCTTTAATGACCTTCACAACCTGGTTCCAACTTCCCTTCACTAATACCAGGTGTGCCGGTCAGCTTGCTGCTCCCTGTATATGACGCTCCTTATCTCACACAGGAATAAGAGTGGATCCAAGAGGTGACAACAGGACTCCCTTCCCCCGCCCCTAAAACTAGTTTGGACATGGTTGCATTCGTGACACTGTCTCCTCTACACCACATCTCCACAGCCCAGCTCACAGATAAGCTGGAGTTGCCTTTGCACAGGCCTGGAGTGGAGACTGCCCTTCTTGGAATCGCCACTGCTGGGCAGGCCCCAGGCCCCAGCTCAGAGGTCACCTCTTCAACAAAGCCTTTCCTGACCCCTGCGGTTGTGACTCCCTTCCCTGTCTGCGTGCACACGCACACGTGGGCGGGTACAGACATACATACACACAGCAACGTCTTTGGATTTACTTATCTGAGTTCCTGTTTCTTCTAAAGAGAAGCTTCTCCAGGGTAGGGCTACCTTCATTTCTGTTTTGTAATCCCAGGCCCCGTCCCTCACCCAGACCCACGACCCCTACGCTGCCGAGCCAGTCGGATCCTAACCTAAGACACACAAAAAGCCTCTCTGTTCTTTTAAGGTCCAGAACTGGAAAAGACGTAATCTTCCAACCAAACTGCAACTGCCCTCGAAAGAAAGAAGAAAAAAGGATGGAGAGCAGTCCCGACCCCAAGTGGCGCATGAACTGATGTTGCCACCTACTTTCTTCTGACCACCTCAGAAGGGAGGACCTCTGGCCAGGACAGCTCACTGATCCCAAAGGCCTTAATGAGGAGATCCTCTGACCAGGCCAGGCCACATCTTCCCACTTAGAGCTCCCTTTCAAATCTGGATTCCTCAGTCCCAGGCAGACAGAACCAGCACAGAAGAAACTCAGAGGGGACAAATGTAATTAAGGAGTTAGAGAAAGTCAATTAGATCTGGCTAAAGGAAAGGGTGTGGTGGAAAAAAGAGGAGAGAAGAAAAAATATTATTTGGCTGTACAGTAATTCAAAGACTATGTTAAGAGTGATTTCCTCAGGTAATGTGAAAGGGAAAAAATGAAAGTAAATAAAAGGCAGTAAGGAATTTTTACATTACTATCAAAATTATTAGAGCACACAGTAAGGGCTTTTTTTAGTGACTTATCCTGCCTGGGCTAAAGGAACCAGAAAAACTAGTTGTCTGTTGTTCCTGGGATGGAGCACAGAGGTGACAATGATGTGCTGGGTGCCTCACAGTAAGAAACGGGATTCTGTGGGCAGGAGCTGGCACAACTGCTCCAAGGCACCGGTGTGCTGAGCACTCTTCGAACCAACCTTTTTCCAAGGCTGAGGAAAAACTGTCCCAACTTCCCTGGATCTTAGCTGGCACTTTCCAGCCCTCCAGCTCCTGAGAGTCTGTGGCACGTGCTCAGCCCCTGAACAAGCAACGCCAATGCAATTCAACAGTCTATTTAGTTCTTGCCACACAATTGCAGAAATGTTTATGAATGAGGCATCTCTTCAACAGCAAACGGAAAAGCAATGATCGTGGGAAGGTCTAAGGCTGAAAACGACAACACTGAAACACTCAGTTTAAAGGACTTGGAAGTCATATAGACGACAGAATTTTTCTGCTGTAGAACATACATAATAAGTCCCCAAAATATCCTTTGTTTGCTTGGGTTTTGCTCAGACATTTAAGTATTCTGACAGTTTAAATACGGTGAACAATATGGTGAACCATCCAAATACTTGTATCGTTAGTATTTGCCATGATCTTTGTGAACAATTAGTTCTGAAAGGCAGGCACTAGCATTAAAGAAGCCCCTTTTCTCATGGGGAAAGAGCAAAACACTGCTTGGTTGGCTAATACTGTTATCACAGATTGTCTCATGTTGAAACCATAAATTCTTTCTGCTACCATGTACTGCTTCTGGACACCACAGCTACTAGACAAGGGCTTGAAATGGCCATGCAGATTTATCACCTCTGCTTGATTACAGGAATCTCTATTTGTATGTGTTCCAAAGAGGGATTTGAGGGGAGAAAATTTTTTGCCTTTCCTTCAGTATTGAAACATGAAAGCCAGATCTTGCTTTGTGCCCCTTGACCCACAACATGGGACAAGCTGGTTGAACAAGAGGAGCTAACGATTCATTGAGATCTCTAAGAACCACCACCTACCAGGACTTAAGGAAGAACCCTGGTATGAAGAGGCAGGGAGACAGACATCCTTTTTTCAGTTCTGAGATTGGGTAATCAGCTAGTCAGCATATACCAATCCAGTACATATGCCTACATAGTCAGGTATTAGGCACTAAGGCTTAAAAATGGAGAAGGGGAAAAGTCCCTGTACTGAAGACTTGAAATATCTTGGGTTGCTAAAGGAACACTTGTCCTTTTTGGAAAACGAGAACAAAGCAAGCAGAGGACTTTGATGACTTGACTTGAAGGAAGAAATATTTGGCATGCTAGTTCATTTTGGCAGTAACCTTTTTCACGATGCAATTTTCTTTGCAAAAGTGGTTAGCCTGGGGAAAGTATTTATGAAGGAGTTTCAGTCTGATGGAAATAATGAGAATATAAAGGGAAAACGGAGATTACGTTTGGTCGTTTCTAGTGACCATGACCTTCTTCAGTCTCTTACAGTACTTATTTGGGGAATGCTCAAAATAATTCTCTATCAGTACAGATACCATTTCCATAGGCAGTGGAAGAATAAAATTTACAACAGTCACATACATTTAGTAAAAGTTAAGCAAAAGTTGCAACCCAAGTGATAGACAGAATCAGTCAATAAGTATTTATTGAGCACTTACTATGGGCCCAGGATACAAAGAAAGGAAAAAAAAAAACCACCATCACATTCTAGTCAGGGAGACAAAATGCAAACAACTACAAACACACAATACAGGGAATACCAAATGGTATGGATGTAACCTCAGAGGGAGAACATTAGCGGTGGAGAGGACCAGGAAAGTCTTCTCGCAGAAAATGGCATATGAGTTGAGTCGTGAAAGAAGCCAGAAGTTAAGGAGGGAGGGCACATTCCAGGCACAGAAAATGGCCAGCAAAAAGG